ACAATGCAAAGTTTAAGTTTGTCTTGAGATTTTTTTAATAAAAAATACACTTTTAAAGAGCAACAAAGATTTGTAAGAATATGAATTCAACTCGGGATCTACAGTAAACCTTACAGGAGTCAGGATACCTTTTGTAACAACATACTTTCGAACCAACCTATGCTTCAATTAGGACTTTTAAAGGGTTGTAATGTGGCCTGGTTCACGGTTTAAGAAACAAAGGATAAGGCTCAAAGTTTATTTGTACCCAACCTGTTCTCCATGATGTTCTTCATCCATATACTCAGTTAATTGCGCGCTTGGATTCCAATTAAGTCTTGGAATGGTTTTTAGGTGATGGTTCGGAAACTGGAAGTTTATTTGAGAAGGCAGTCATTTTTTTGCAACATTTTTCTGTTGTTGTAACGACCCTTTTTTTATGAATTATTGTCCCTAATTTTTCTTGACTGTTCTTGTTTTGAGATTACAGCCAGCGGGATGCCCCAGTTTCTCCTTCATAGGTTTTGACTCAGCGGGCTTTTCTTTTGAGAAATAATGGCTGCCTATTTCATGGGGAACCAACACCGTCTATTGATTTAGCAGGATGTTTTTGTTGTGAAATGACAGCTTGTGACTGAATGCGCCTTTGGATTAACTGAGAAACTACCCTACCCCAGGTTATGATTAAAGGTTTCGGTTTATGCGAAAAAGAAAACTCCTACTTCTTAGACTCAAAGGGGTTGACTAGGGACTATCTTCCTTATAACTCCACTGTTTAGGGTTTGAAACAACGCTTGTACATCATCAGCAAAGTCTGTCCAAAAGCATACTGTATGAGATTATGGTATTATTTTCTTCATCCTTCCTCTAAAGGCTTATAGCTTGTAAACGAGAGTTAAATATCATATAAAACGAGGTAAAAGCATAATTTCAGTATAGTGAAAATGAATGGATTAACTCAGGACAAACATATGTAATGCATTAATGAGAGCAAACAAAGTCTGACATAAAGATAAGTGTTTAAGAAAACAAAGAAATTACGACTGAAAATTCAAATGAACAAAAATTTCCCCGCCTAACTTTCGTCACTTCAGATGATGTGCCTTTGAAGGATGACAGAAAAACTCAAGTTGACCATCTTGTGTGAATTCCAACGCCCCTTCGTCGATCAGGTCTTGAATCTTGTTTTTTAATGCCCAACAATGGTTAGTGTCGTGTCTAGGACTGTTGGAGTGGTAAGCACACCTTTCTTCATGATTGTAACGGGGAGAAGCAGTAATGGGTTTTTGAGGAGGCTCCCTCAATGTAACCAGCCTGGCTTCCAACATATGATGCAATGCTTGAACTAAGGGCATGTTGATCTCGGAAAATTGTCTTCCTTGCTTATGTTTACCACCTTGTCGTGGTTGGCAAGGTTGTTGCTGGAATCTTGGTATAGTAGCCATTTTGAAGGGTGTTCTCTCGACCAAACCAACTTCTTGTCTCATCGGAGGCTGATTAATGAATCGATCCCTAATTCTAGCTGTTTATTCCATATGGTTGCATCTGTCTTGATGAAACTTGTTGACGAGGGCTCTCAGCTCTTCTTGTCCCTAAGCTAAGTTTTGGATAAGAGCCATCTGACCCACCATTTGTCCTATCATCTGGACTTTCATTGTTGCCATTTCAGTTTGTAATTGTTCCACCTGGTCGTCCCTGTTGTCTTTAGGATTCCTCTTGGTCATGCTCTCAATGAGGAGTGCTTTCACTTCTTCTTGCTCCTTGGATAGGTTCAGGAATAATTCTTGAAGTTGAGCATTTTGGGTCTGAATATCTATGACAGTCTGCTCTAGAGCCATCTATACTGAAATAAACAGTAAGCAGATGAGATACCCTGTATGGGGAAAATCTGTCATGATATGATGCATTATATGTGGGTGAAATGTTTTAAAGGATCTTGCGGGGTAAACACAAGAAAATGTTAGAAGTTAAACTTTGATTACAACTTTTGATTGAAGAACTTCATATCATTGAATGTCCTTCTACGAGAATCGAGCTCACAATGTCGAGTGGGTCATAGCCCTTGACTCAAGTTATCGTGCTTTGGTCTTCGACAACATTTGGTTAGAGGAGAATAAATCCTCTTGCCCCTTGATAAACGTCTGGTTTATCATAACCCTGCATCACATGCCCTTTGAGATCCTTGAAATGGTCAGTAGAAATGATATGGTATGATGTCATGAAGTTATGTACACAAAGAAAATAAGTCGTTATGTACAAATAATCATATACACACAAAGCAGACAAGTCCTTAGGTTTAGGCTTGCATGGAGTCATAGGTAAGTACCCTCTTAAAGCTTAGTTGGTTCAACCTGTCCTAGAAAGTAACCGAGTTCTAGGGGATCTTAATATCATTGATCTTTCTTTATCGGGCATTTTTTCAGCACAAGCCTCTTTATTGGCGACCAAAATATCCCGAAAGTCCAATCTCAATGAGCGTAGCATCGAGTATCAACCAACTTCAAACTGCATCAAAGCCGATTATCTCACTACTTCCTAATGGCTAAGTTGTTCAATTAAAAGTTCTAACGTCAATTAGTGCTTCATGACACCACACAACGACCCCGTATTCTCCTTGACTAAACTCAAGGGCTACCGATACTAACAAATGTGTCACACTAACGCAAACATCGCTTCAACCATATCGGTATACCCCACACAGTTTCCACAATCTACTGCTACTTACCTAATGGTCTTCTCCGATCCGGTAGAGGATCAAAATAAGCCCAAACAAAGACCCAAAATGTAAAGTAATCAAATCATATAATAAAAGTAATTAAATGTGATCTAGCTCTAAGGTAACCCCACTTTTTTTAAAAAAAATAGTCCCCAGTAGAGTCGCCAGTTCTGTAATATGGTGGGAGAACTGACTTAGGTGTTTTGTGTTTTATCGTAAGTGTTGCAGATAGCAAGAGTCACCACCGACTTTTCTTTTATCCAATAAAGGAAAGGGTGAAAAGAACAGGAAAGACATTTGAAATTTTTTCTTGAGTTCGGGGGGTAGGTTATGAAAAGGGAAGGTGTTAGCACTCTTTTCATCCGTAGTTATCTACGGGCTCTTAGTTTCTTGCTAGATCACTTTTGAAATTGCTTTGATTGAAATGTGTTTGTGGTGGGTTTTTGAAAGTATTTTGAAAACGCCTTTGTTTCGACAAACTTTGTAATGATTCTCGTCTCTATAAGAATGTATACAAAGTGTTAGTTTTGAAAATGGTTCAAAGAAATGTTTTTTTTAAGGTGTTTTGAAAGTGTGAGTGCGGAAATGGTTTTAGTTTTTGAGCAAGCAACTACGAGCGTCCTACCTACTAAAAAAGTCTTTTTTTTCTTTTCCTCCTCCTTTAGATGTTGCTATATTACCATTGATTGGTAAGAAGCCTCATCATTGGATGTGAAGGGACGGGCGCGGGTCAATCGTACAGTCATAGAAGGCAACTTGTGTGACACTTTAGCAATTTTCATAAGGGACTAGATTGTTTTATCGAAGGCAACATCGAGGGACATCGAGGGACTACAGTCTCTTTATCAAAGGGTCTTTGCTAAAGCATCCCACATTCAAGGGACATAACTGTATTTTTTCGAGGCAACAAGCGAGGTTACCCTAAAGGTACGCATGTGCAAAGTGATTAGTTTTCAATTGAATTGTCTTGAAATTAGGTTATCTAGAGGTTGTTTTTATGTCTTGCCATACACGCTTAATTACTATACAGTATAAAGAAAAATAGTACATTGCAGAAATTAAAATTCTACGCTATTACAGAGCTTTCAAGAATGGGGAGTACAAATTTACAAATGGGGATAAATCAATGCGATTAAAAGTCCAAATAGGCAATCAATACAACCAAATCGAATCGAACAATTAATTAAAACTACAACAATCTATGAAGTAAAAATTAATTAACAAAGTATGGAAATAAAGCTCTTGGTATTTTGTTTGTGAGGAAATTTGAAGAGAAAATAAAACCTATTCTAGAAAATAAAATAATTGACTAGAAGAAATTAAATCATATGTATATATTTTTTGGTATTTTTTATCATGAAGAGTTTAAACAAAATAATTTAAAACTAAATAAAAAGTTAATTAATAAAATTATTCAAAAAAAATCCTTAACTAAACTAATTAAGAAAATTTAACTAATTTTAAAGAAAGTTAACTCAAAAAATTCATAAATAAAATTATTTACAAAGTCCTAAATTAATTAAGAAAATAAATTAATTTTGAAACTATATTTTTTTATTTAATTAAAATTAAAAAAAAACTAAAGATTAAATTAAATCTAAACTAAAATTATTAAGATAATTCTAAACTAAACTTAAAATTCTAAATAATTAGATTAATTCTAAAATTAAATTAAAAATTCTAAATTATTAAATTAATCCTAAAACTAAGTTAAAATTCTAAAATTCCTAAGTTAAATTTAAACTAAATTAAAAATCTAAAATTACTAAATCAATTATAAGAAGAGGTGTGAAATAGAAACTTGAAGGTGCTGTCATGAATTTCGTATGGGCTTTTGATTAAAAGCCCAAACTCTTTTTTTGATGACTTTTGTCTAATAGTAAAGGAGGAAATGACAAAAAGATTGAAAAATGCACAAAACATTCCATGGGGTCTCGAACTCGGGACCTCTATATCACACAAGCGCACGCTGACCACTACACCAACTGACCCTTCACTTACTTGAATACTTATATTAATATAAAAAGCAAAATTTAAGAAATGGATTGGGCCAAACCAAACAGGCCCAAACCCTATTTATTGGAAAGAACAAGGAAAAGGTTTGAAACCCTAAAATGAAATAAAAGGCGTCGCTGGTTTTCTGTATTGGGAAAGGAAATTTGCTGATTATCATTATTATTGTTAGTACCAACAAAAACGATTAACAAGAAAAAAAGTAAAAAAAATAGCAATCCTCTTTCATCTGTATCACCGTTTTTCCCCTTCCCTTCAAATTTCTTTCCATCTCAAATCAAGTTCATGGTGATTACGACTTTATGAGCGCGACGTTGGTGGCAGAAGGTTTTATTTTGCTAACCCCACCCATGTAACAATGCCAACAGCCAAGATTATCCATCCAAATATGTTGTACTTCAAATCGCTGTCCTTCTTTTTCTTTTGAATCTTCGCACCAGAAGATGAAGAAAGCCTGACCGACCCTGCTGATTGTTGTCCTAATCCATGCTTATGGATTTCTACATGTAGCTCAGGAGCCTTAGCAGCGACTTCCAATGATTTGCAGTAAAGTTCATTTGAAGGATCCTAATCAACAGCTTATTGAAAGTACGCAGATGCCCTATCAAAATGAACTTTAGCTTCATCCGGGTCTGGGTTTAAAAATGCTTGTGAAGTGAGAGCATTTCCCAGGCACCAAAAGGGATCATGCTTGATGGGATTCAAAGAAATGGCCTCCTGCAGCTTCGAAATAGCCTCTTGGGTCATCTTCTTTGATTCTGGAAAATTCTGAAACTGAGACAACTCTAATAAAGCTCCACCCTATCTTGTCAAATTATCAGCATCGAGAAGGTTGACAACCTATCCAGCTTCAGCGGTTTTACGAGCGTATTAAAAGAACAAAGTGAAGAAGTGAAAAACACAAGAAGAGGGGGGGGGGGTTGAATTGAAACTTAAAATCAAAAACAACAGACACGATATTTTTATCCTGGTTCGTTTGATCTCAAACTACTTCAGTCCACCCGCCAAGGTGATTTCACCTCTCTCCAACAAGGACTTAATTCACTAATCAAAACTTGATTACAATACTACTTTGACAACTGCCAAAGTCTTCTTGAGTACAACCACAACCCGGTTTATCTCAAGGAAAACTAGCTTAATCAAAATAAACTGGTTTACTGTGTACTATTGTTTTCGTTACAAAAACTGTATCACAACTGTGATATATTACACAATTTGAGCGTAAGTGAATATGAAAGATTGCAGCGTTTAAGATGTATGAGCAATGGTAGTCCAAAAATCATAAATGATTTGTCCTTTAAGCTTGTTTATATAGGCGTGGAAATATTGTCCAACATAAAGCGTGATAATTGACACTCAATGCTATTTCCATATTAAGAAGATTCTTGTCTGAATGAAGCCGTTGCATATGATACTGTCTTAATTGAAAAGTAACGCTTCAGAACTAGAATCTTGCATGCTGCTTTTACTTCAGAACATTGATGACTCAGAGAAATGAGGATCTGATGGTATATTAGACTTCTGTTCAGAATCATAGTATCCTTTACTTTAGCGCAGATTCTGATCATCATTCTTCAGAACATTCTGATTTTCTCAGCTTGAAAGCTTCTGTAGCTTAACTTCTGATGTTGTTTCAGTCAGAACTTCAGCATACAAAATAACACAAATTTAGAGTGCATATTTGTTCTTTGTGTTTGTTATCATCAAAACTCTAATTAAGGGTTGTAGAATCAAACTATGTTCTAACAATCTCCCCCTTTTTGATGATGATAAAAACTAGGATTTTCAATGAAAAATATAGAACAAAAATCTTAAGAGAGTCTCCCCCTGAGTTGATTACTCAGATAGAGATGAGTTACTTCCTGGAAGTTCCTTCTCGTCAGATCTTTTGATGCATCTCCTTTTGTCCTTATCAGAGTATGTTCCTGTTCAAGCTTTTCAGAAAACATAGAGGTTAAGATATTCAGAATGTTTGAGACTTATCCCGTTATACTGTTATTGAAAATATCTTACTTTCTCCTCCTTTTGTCAGGTATCAAAAAGTAATATAATCAGAGTCAAAAGGATGATTTATATTGAAAACATAATGCAATGACATTTTTTTAGAAACAAGGAGGATAAGATGAAAAAATACAGATAAACAGTTAAATAAAAACTAAGAAGGAGGGGGAAGTCGTGTGAACAACGCTTCCAACAAGCTCTTAATCTGAGTGCTTGATTCTTCCTGCTTTCCCAGAATGTCTTTGATTTCTTTTGTTGTATCATCTTGTTTATACAATATATCCCTGATCTCTTTGTTTGTGTCTTCTTGCTTATCCAGTCTGGCATGGATTAAGGCATTCTCCTTTTTCAACTCTTCCATAGTTTGCATGACTAGAGACAAAGCTGGTGTATCTTCAGGGGTTGCATGTCGTTCAGAACACTCTGCAGCCTCTTCTGATTGAACAACTTCTTCTGTCGCAATCACCTTTTCTGGAGCAGTAGTCAGTGGATGACTATCAGAATCCGGTTCAGTGGCTTCTAAAGGTTGGTTCTCTTTACAGGGAGCATTTTCCAGCAAAAGAATTTCTTTCTTATCCCAGTGGCTCAGAACTTGATCTTTGAAGGCTTTCAGCTGATCACTGAAGTTCTGCTGAGCCCTTTCATAGCTCAATTCTTTCAGCTTCTTGGTTTCAAAGTTGAACCATTTTCTGAATCTTTCCTACAGAGAATCAGAAGCAGCAGGATTAGAATTCTCTTGACTTGCTTGCTTCAAAGAAGTAACCCATTCTTGTATTTCTGTTTAAAAAATCAACAGATTCTTACCAACATCTGATTTGGTTAAGGTTGGTTTAGGTTTAGGGAAGGCAATTTTGTGTTAGGTGGAAGCTAGATGGTCCAGCGCTTCTAGATCAATGACAATTCTGAGGTGGTCAGCTGGAAGGTTGATAGGTGAGGGAGTGGAAGAATCAGAAATCAGGATTGGTGAGTGAGGGGTGTTTGGTGGTGTGGATTCATACGGTGAAGCTATTTCTGGAATATCATGAATGGAGAGAGGTAAATGAATCGTAAGAGGTTCTGTTATCCCAGGAATTGGGGTAGAGGTATCAGAGTCTGAAAGGGAGTCTTCTGATTGGTTTGTGGTAGCGTGTTAAATTTCTGGTTCAGGTATTTCAGAAGATGGATTTTCAGATTGAGGAGTGAGAGGGTTTTCATTTTCTGGTTGGGGTGAGTGGAGGTTTTGATGTTCTGGTTGAGGAGAGTGTGTTTGTGGATTTTCTGGTTGAGGAGAGTATGGTTGTGGATTTTCTGGTTGTTGAGATTGAGTATTTGGATTTTCTGGGATTGGTGAGGAAAAGTCTTGATCAAACAGTTCAATATCAGAGAGAACTCTTGCAAGTTCTGGTTGATGTTGTTCTAGATTTGGATTGGGGGAGTGAGGTTCATTTAAGAAATTTCCAAGAGTTACAGATGGGTCAAACTCTATGTCAAAATCCTAAAATTTTTGGGGTGAAGGATTTTCTGTTGGTTGAGGGGGAATTGTTTCATATGTTGGAATATCTATTGATTCTACAACAGAAACAAAAGATATGTTACCTTTCTTTTTCGCAACTTTAGGTGTTCTCTGAGAGGATCCTTCTCCTGCTGCCTTCCTCTTTCTGGATTTCTTTAGCACAACCTCTGGAGCTGGCTTGTGCAGATCTTGGATGTTTATTTCTTGAATAGTCCCATCAGCCTTGCAAGCTTCAAGGTATCTGACTATAATCTCTGGAGAGGCATCTATGTCAGAGAATAGTGGAAAATCCTTCAGAGGGATTCTCCTAGAAGTGATGATCTCATGAGAAGCAATTGTTGGTTCCTTCTTAATGTTTTCAATAATCTTCATTTTCTTCAGATTCCTGGAATTCAAAGGTTTCCCAGCAGTTGCTTCTAGAGTACTGATTTCTTGAGCCTCTGTCAGATGTCCTATCAACATGTTTTCCGTTAGAATATCTGAAATCAATCTTCCTAGAGGAATCCAGTCCCTCTTAGTTCTTTCTTCTTCTCTTGTCTCTTTCACACTTGTTCTGAGATGGTTGAAGAGCAAATGTGGAAGGTTTATTTTGGTCTTCTTTGCAATGAAGTATATCAGAAACTGCTGATCAATGTTGATGTAATCAGGAGAGCTTGTAGGCTTCCTCTGATTGATACATCCCAAAATTATTCTTGCCCAGATTCTGTAATGATATTTCAAGTCTTTGATCTTGTTGGATGGTTGTCCAGAAGTGAAGATGACCCTAGCAATGGATTTTAGGTCAGAACACTTATCAGCCATATCAATGCATCTGACTCCGCCACCATTGTATCCAATGAGTTTCCCAATCAAATACTCTGTAATCACTATCTTCTTCCCCATAACATATGATGTGACCTGATGGTTGGATGAAGTAGCATGAATCCAAAACTCTTTAATAATAATAGGAAAAGTTGGACCCAATAGACGATCAAAGTATCTGTTCCATCCTTGTGCAGTTACATCTTCATACAGATTTAACCTATTTTCTTGTAAGCTTTCAAAATCGACGATCAATTCACAGAGAACTTCAAGGTTGTCGACTGGAGTGCATAGTGTTCTAATGGGCTCCTCATATTGTTCAGTAGATGAAGAACCAGGAGCACTGTTGAGATTCTTGAGACTTGATGAGGATGTTAGAACTAAGTTTGAATCTACTACCCTAAGTTTAAGTTTTGATGATAACAAAATGCTAAGATATATTAATTGTATGCTTCATGTAAAGACTATTTGCTACCTAAAAATTACCTTCTGGTTTACAGAAACTCTGATGGGTATCAGCATGAGAACATCCTCATCAGCATCAGAAAATTGGATATCAACATCAGCATCAGAAGATGTGATATCAGATACCAGAATCAGAAGATCAACTTGCGCTTATGCTGAAGCTTGATGAACAGATCTGTGCTCAACACTCTGAACTCTGATAAAGACAACAACAGTTCATCAGCACCTAAGCAGCATCAGAATGAGCCAAAGCCAGAACACGCTTAAGTGGCAACGATACTGTGCATTCAAGATGAGTTATTACCAACGGCATCATTCCAGACAAGATCTGCTTAATAAGGAAAGAATGTTATTGGCATTGAATCAGAATTATTCTCCAACGTACACTATTTCTAATGCTATATAAACAAGTCAATGAAGATTGAATTGGCTAATGCTCTACAACACTCTACACGCCAAAAAGCTAATCTTCATCTTCCTTACTCTCAGTTTGCTAAAAGCTCCAAATTTCCTTACTCAATTATTTTAGCAATCTAGTTCTCTTAAGCTAAATTTATGTAGTATCACAGTTGTGATAAACAGTTTTGTAGAAAACATTCACACACCTAGATTTCAATTCTTTGTAAGAAAGTAATTCCTTGAGAAACCGGTTTGTGGTTTGCATCAAGAAGGCTTTAGCAGTTGTTAAAGCAGATTGTAACATTCAGTTGAATATAGTGGATTAAGACCTCGTTGGAGAGAGGCGAAATCACCTTGACGGGTGGACTGGAGTAGTTTGAGATCAAACGAACCAGGATAAAAATATCGTGTTCATTGCAATTGATTTCCAGTTTTTACAATTCAACCCCCCTTCTTGTGTTTTTCACTTCTTCAATTGGCATCAGAGCGCCTGGTTCTGAGCTAAAACACTTAACCGTGTCAGTACAAGATCCAGCGTCAGAAAAACACAATGGCAGGAACTTATCAACATATCAGCAATGACAACAAT